AAAACAGGGAGATTTCGTACGGGGATAAGTCTGATTCCACGGCGAAAATACCGGTGGTGAACCGTCGCTACTCGGCCGGCTATTGGCGGAATCAGAACTAGCCGGCGTCGGAAAATCACCATCGTCGTCGATTACCATAGAGATTTTGAGATCGGAATTTTGAGTTAGAAAATTACCAAATTTCATATTCGTAAAATTGGTGGTGTCGATGAACATCCGTTGTGTTTTCATGTGGCAATGTGAACGCAAACTCAGAAATAGAAATTAAGAGGAAAATGAAGAAAAAATCAAAATCAATGCGTTGGGAGATTGCATGAGACTAAGGGATTATATAAAATGGGAGAAAAAGATTTGAGGCAGAAGATAGTGACACGTGTAAGGAAGAGACACAATAAATTAAGTCAATAATTGAAATTAAGTGCCCAAACAAATCATTAAATAAGAATATTACTCCACTTTGTCACAAATTCTCATTTCTTTTCTTTCTTTTTTTAAAAAATATTTTTTTAATTTTCATTGTTGTGTGGTTAGAGTGGATTGCCACTTTTTTTTTCTTTTTAATTCTTTTTTAATTATATAATTAGAGTTGGCGATAAAAAAACACAGCCATCCAATTACTTTTATAAATAGTGAATTATATTTCATGTGATATTTATTAAATTAATTAAAAAAGAGGATTAAATTGGATGAACTAATAGTGTGGGGGAGAGGAAATGAAAGTGGTGATGCAATGGGTTTAAAATAAGAGGGGGGGAAAAAAGTTAGGGCTGCGTCTGAGTGGAGAGAACATGTATTGGTAAACATCAAAAGGAGTCTTCAACAAAATAGGTACCCATACGGATGTATCGATGTGTCTCGTGACATAGGATGACATCACAATGTACGGGTCGTGTTATTGGGAACCGAGATGACAATGAGAGGCAACGTTGTTGTGTTGCAACGATTGTACATGCATGCATAAATGACGTGTGTGGCCGAACAAGCGATGTTCGGTTGGCGAAAGCAAATCTCGCCTAGGATCCGATGTAGCCACCAAACCGGGCGAAAAATATGAATGGTGCTTGAGTTCCCCTTTAAGACTTGCCACGAATGTATCAAGATCACAATGCTGCACAGTTGAAGAAGTACAATCGTGACAATTGATATCAACCCAACCCAACGTGTACAGTTTGAGTTGGATTATCAATTTATTAGGGTTTAGTCAAGAGATTACAATATGTCTAAAAATATCCTAACCGGATCAACTCAACACACATAAATACCCTTTAACTCAAGAAATACCACGTATGACAAGTATAAAAACGACAATATTATTGTAACAATCACATTAAATAACATAAGGAACAAAATGAAACTTAAAATTATAATAAAAATAGAAATGGGTTTGGAGTAAGGACAAGACAAGGAGCGATTAGGAAGAGATGATATATGAGATGGGCGAAGGAATGTCCATGAACCAATGACGTCGCAACCAAATTGCCTGTCTTCACAGGGCATTCACTATTACCTTACAAATCTCTCATACACTCCAAAGGACACTCCTCATCACATTCTCTTTTGATTTGGGTGGAATTTTAGGTGTCATTTTGGCATCCAAACATATTAACTTAAAAGCAATAACCCATTTTCCCTTTCTAATCCAATGCCCTTTCAAAACCTTTTTTTTCTTCACTTGCATTCAACGTTCTTTGCTCTTAAACTTTTTTCAACGCCCCCCATCATTACTCAGTACAATCATAATAGCATATAATTCAATTATTTTGAATTATTCTCGACTTAAAATTAATCTACTTTTTTTTACTCTTAGTACGATAGCTTAACTAGCTCTCATTTTAGACGATTCTATTCTTGACAATTTTATGTCATTCTCTTACCTATCTTATTTATTTTTTGAGTAAAAACTATTTTTATATATTAATACAATTTCTTGTTTAAAAAAATTTGAAATTTTTAGTGAAATAGTAAGTATTAATTTTATATGTTTTATATTAGAATTAAGATAGGGAAAAAATGAGTGTAAAAAAAAGAATAATAAAATTGGGTTGGAGCTTGTCGTTGACGCTGAGTTGGATGCCGGAAGTGGAAACCAAACAATAATCGCACCAACCTTAACTGGAAATCTGCCAGCACAGCCTTAATAGTACCCAGGTCAACTTCAATGAGAGGCGACACGTGGCTGATCGAGAACTGAAAACGACATGTCGTTGTGGAGCTTTCTTCTCATTTAGTATCGTCGTACGGGAGGAGACCTGTCGAATTCGCACTCGCAGACTTGTGGTCACACCTATCCCACACGTGGCTTAATTTTTAAAATTACGTCACCAGAAGGACAGGACATCTTAAATCAATAAATCCATTCTCGTCCCCATTAAAATGAATGGAAATTATTGGATATTTGTTGGACGTATTAATGGGCCAAACAGGGTGAAGAGGTCTATGGGCCCAACATTCGGCCCATCAAATTTGGACCGACCTCTAAAATTAAATATTAAAGAAAGAATAAATGTGATATTTGGTTTATTAAAAATAAAAATTAATTATAAAAGGAGATTCCATGGATAATAATAAGAACAATAAAAAAAAGGCCAATAAACTTATATTCGTTTATACAAAATAAATTCAATAAAATAAGTGAAAAATATTCCACTTGCAGATTATAAAATCTCCTTGTCCCCTCTCGATTTTCCTATTTAATAAAAAATATAATCCTGGAAACTGAAGCCGGCCGGATTCAGAACCCTGATTCTGATCAGCCGTCGGTTTCTGCCGCACGTTTCCCAATACCACCGCCTCAACTACCGCCTACTGTCTCCACCTATAAGAAACCCACTTCTCCCGATTCGTCTTTTTTCTCACTCTCACTCTGATTTACCGTTACCCACAAAAACCATGGCGGCTATGTCAGCTCACACTTCTTCTGTAGAGAACAAGATCGCTGGAGCTCAAGAGGAGGCCGAGATGGAGATGGAGATGGAGACGGAGGCAGCGGCGGTGGGCCCAGATGTGACGAGGCATATTATGGTGAAGTCTTCTCGCTCCACCCAAGTCAGTTTGGAGAAAGCGGTGGTGCTGCGACGGATCCGGCATCGGAAGCGTGTTAACAAGTTCCAGGCGGTGGTTGGAGCTCTGTTCAGCTCACCGTTCGCCGACAAAACCGACGAGACACGTCAGAGAAAATGGGTGGACGAACCCTTCACTTCACTCTAGACCAACTCCAAAAGAAAATAGTTGCTTCCCTTGCATTGTAATTGAGTCATTATTAAAATATATATATATATTGTTTAGATTGAAGTGTTTCTCGTTTGAAAGAATAATTATACTATAATTATAAATTTAGCTATTTTGTTCGTAAATTTTCTAAATGATAAATTTCAACACAGAATTAAAATTTTAGATATTTAATGGAAATTGTTTTTTAAATTTAATTTAGTTTAATCCAATTGTTTTCTAAAACTATGGGCCCAAAGTCGGAAATTAGGGAAGGTAAGTGGAGTGGCCCAGAACCATCGAATTACAGAACTGCCCATGACATGACAAAGAAATAAAAATAACATAGACAGCCCCTGAAATTACGCGAAATTATTACCAATGTGAAAAGGACAAAAAAAAAAAAAAAAAAAAAAAAGGGGTTTTACTTTGATTTTTTTCTAAGAAAAAAAAAACAAAAGACAGATTTTCAAGTTCAATTCGGTAGTCAATGTCAAACACGACGGGCCCCACTACCAGACATTTATTGATTAATTCATTAATTAATTGATTAAAATCACGGGCGACCAGTGGGACCTACTCCAAGTACACGTGAAAAATACAAATTGACTTTTTGACTTCTTATTGTAGATAGCGTGCACCGGAATATTTGTTTTTATCTCATTCTTTTTATTAAAAAAGGATTAAATTATATATTTCATACCAACCCTATCTAATAATTGGTTGCTACATTTCAATTTTAAAGATAAATAGAAAAAATAGGACATTATTGTTGGTTAAATTAATATGTTGTTGCATGTTTAATCTAAATTATTATTAAAAACCTAATGTTTATAACCCATAAAATATATTAACAAATTATCAAATCATTATGATGAAGAATTGAAAATGATGTATCGAGCATTGTGGGATAGAGTAGACATTTCAGATCAAACAAGAAATCAATGGGGAGCCCACTGAGCATTTTGATCATTTTTATCAATAATGCATTATTGATGTGAGTGTTTGAGTGTCCATTCGAATTTTTAGATTCGAATTTATGATTTATCTGAATTTATGATTCAAGATTATGCATTGAGATCTCTTACCAATTTTTGTTTTTGTTTGGATGTTAGAAATAATTTATAAAGTAAAGAAAAAAAAAAAACTAAAGTGTGGATGTTAGTGCTTTTAAATTTTTTTTTTTTTTTTTAAGTCTTTCTCATGAGAACACACTTTTCAATATTTTAATAAAGAATATGGTAGGTGAATGGCTAAGTCGAGGGACCTTCATTTTATTTATTTATTGTAATACACGGTAGTGAAGATTCACTAAAAGACACAGTATGGATAGCTGTGAGATTCTACATCGATTATAGATTGGAACGAAACGTTTTCCCTAGTAGACGCAATTTCAAACTGCAACAATGATGACAAGCGGACAATATTTATTAACGAAGGACTTAAGCTGATACAAACGGTAACAAGTGAGGACACTAAGCCCCCAAGGAAGGGTATGAACATCCTCAAGAGGGGGTGTGAATGTTAGATCCCATATCGATTAGAGAGATACAGTGTGTAAATCCCTCCCTAATAGTCACGTTTTAAAACGGTGAGGATTAGAGAGGGGAATGATTGTGTCGAAGAAAAAATGTAGAAGAGTTATCAAGTGCCGAATCTAGATTACGAATCTCCATTAGAAGCCGAAACAAGGAGCGTTAGAAATGGTTCCTCGACAATTTTTTTTTTTTTTTGACATGCCCATACAATATTGAAAGAAAAAAAAACAACTTTATTTATTAGTTAATCAAATATTAGTTAATGGTTGAATTTAAAAAATATATAGGATTAGGATGAACAGGCAAATGTTTTGATAACCTTTCCCCCTTCCGCCTTCCTCTTGCTTTAGCTCCACACTTAGCATCCCTTTTCCATCGAACACATTCTCAAATGCCAAGAAAATTCATCAATTTCCCACAAAATTCAATCCAAACACCAATATTTTTACTTCTTCTAGCGTTAACACTCAAAGCAGAGGCTGAATGTTCAAAATCATGTAGTCCCAACCACATCCCATATGATTTTCCCTACCCATTCGGCTTCTCCGCCGGCTGCGCAATCCGCTTGGACTGCAATCACGACGGCGCCGCCACGATCGGGGAATTCCCTGTCCAATTAATCAACTCCGACCACATCAAAGTCGTTATCAAAGCCAAATGCAACCGCCGTTTGCACACAATCCGCCAATTCTTCAGCCCCCACTACGCCCCAACGGCCAACAACGCCATTCTTTTACAAAACTGTTCGTCTCCGATTTCGACTTGCCTTTTACCCACCACGATGGTTCAGACCAAATTCGAATCCCCCGATTGCTCTGTTAATCGCACTAGCATAAGCTGCTACACCCAAAACAACACCGCTTCCGCCGCTTTCTTGGACTTCAAAAACCTCACCGGAACCAACTGCGATTACCTTCTCTCGTCCATTTCCGCGGAGGCGCTCAACAGCAACACCTCTGCTGGAATTTCTCTGGAGATTCAGACTGTGGATCTGGGTTGGTGGCTGCAGGGGCCCTGCCGCCAGTCCTGCCATAAAGATGCTAACTGTACGGAGCTTATATCGCCGAGTGACGGGAAGCTGTCTCATCGGTGCCGCTGCCGGGAAGGGTTGGTCGGCGACGGGTATTTGACCGGCACTGGCTGCCGGAAAGGTTGGTTTTTTTCCCCACTTGCGATTATTATTATTATTATTTGTTTGTTTTATTGCGCGTGATGATTTTAAAGTCAAAAAATCATGATGAATTATGGTTGGTGGGATTAATTTGGTTGACTATTAATTAGTTGTTTAATTTTATAATTTAAAGTAATTAATCCAACTAATTTCTTGGAATTTAATATTATAAATTATCCAAATTTCATTAATCTGTTCATCTTCTTCCCCAAACAGCTTCAAATTGCTATGCCACTAAGTACACTCTCGCCCAATGCGGAACATCAACAACTGCCACAAGAACCGCCGTCCTCGTCGGAACTATAATCGCCGGAGCCTTCCTCCTCGTTACTCTCCTTCTATTCTGCTGCTTCATCCGCCGTCGTTCCAATCTCAAATCTATACACCTCAACAAAATCACCAAACGCCGCCTCGCAGAAGCCACAACCGACGCCGGCGTATCCACCATCCACCTCTACACCTACAAAGAGATCCTAAAAGCCACCCATAACTTCTCCGAGGACTACCGCCTTGGCACCGGCGCATACGCCTCCGTCTACGTCGGGAAATTACGCGGCGAATGGGTCGCAATTAAACGCCTAAAAAATCGAGACCCCGATACTATCCAACAAGTTTTAAACGAAATCAACCTCATCTCATCTGTCAGCCACCCTAACCTCGTCCGCCTCCTTGGCTGCTCCATGGAATCCGGCGACCAAATCCTCGTCTACGAATTCATGCCCAACGGCACTCTGTTCCAACATTTACAGAAACAGAGGGGCACCGGCCTCCCCTGGCTTGTCCGCCTCAATATCGCCGTCGAAACCGCTAATGCAATCGCTCATCTCCATTCTGCAATTAACCATCCGATCTTCCACAGAGACATTAAATCCAGTAACATATTACTTGATCATAATCTCAAATCGAAAGTGGCGGATTTCGGGCTTTCGAGATTGGGGATGGCCGAAATTTCTCACATTTCCACGGCGCCTCAGGGGACACCGGGATATCTCGATCCGCAGTACCATCAGGATTTTCATCTCTCCGACAAGAGCGACGTGTACAGCTTCGGCGTAGTCCTTGTCGAATTGATCACCGCCATGAAAGTGGTGGATTTCTGCCGGCCGAAAGACGAGGTCAATTTGGCCGGTCTGGCAGTCGATCGGATCGGGAATGGGCAGCTGAGAGTAATTGTTGACCCGTTAATGGAGATGGAGTTAGACGAATGGGGAAGTTCGTCGGTGGAGAAGGTGGGGGAGGTGGCGTTCAGATGCCTGGCGTTTAATCGGGATGTAAGACCGTCGATGGTAGAGGTGGCGGCGGAGCTGGAGGAGATACGGCGGAGCAGGTGGGATAAAGGGGGAGTGAAGTGTAAGGAAATAGTTGAAAGTGGAAGCTGGAAGTCTAGCCATGGAGGAGGGGATTACTTTTCCAGAGGCTCAGTCCAAGATTCGTGGCAGAGTGAACCGAGCTCACCATCTTCCAATAGTTTGTTAAATAATATTCCTTTATGATCCAAGTTTTTCTCCTTGTTTGTGGCGTAATTCCAATCTCAAAAAATATGTAAATATTTGAATGAATTAGGTTTCAATCCAGGGTCACTTTAGAACACAAAACTAAAGAGGGCAAGTCTATGACTATAATTTAGTGGGCTTGAATTTATTAGCTTGTGGTTGAAATCAACGTCCTTATCACCACAACTCTACAAAGCTAATAAAATGATGTTTCATCCACAATTAACATGTTAAAGACACACCAAACACAATGATTGTATGTTTTCATCACTTCCCAACCTATCTTTCCGCCTAAATTTGACTTTTTGTTGTAGAATTTATCTCTACATTTTGGCTAAGTTTTAAAATAGTCATTATCTCATAATATACGTGAATGAACGTATTACATTTTATTTGTTTTGATTTATAAAAGAGAAAAAAAAGTTATTAAAATTAATTATTACCTCGAATATTCCAACCTTTCCTAACATTTTAAATTGAAAAGGAAATAAATATTATAGTCAATATTTGACTATTGAGTGAGTCAATTTTTAGGATTAAATTGAACCGCCCTAATGGAACGAAACGATGCGACCGTCAGGCTTTGGACCGGCTTGTTTGGCAAACCGAAATACATTCTCAGCCAACCTGTCTTGATCTCTCAATTTTCTTTATTATAAATAGTTATTGACATTTCTATTAAAAAAACTTTTATTTTTTTTGGTCGACAGTATTCATAATTTAAATTAAAAAGTATGGCTATCATTCAAACCATGTTTATTTTGCATGCCAATATTATATGTCTCAATTTGCTAATATTCAATAGATTTACAAAAAAAATTTAAATTTATTTCTTTGAGGAGGACCCTACTTTTGGAAAAAGTAAACTTTGGACAAAAAGAACAAGCATTCAATTCACCAACAAAGTCAACCTCATTTTGGGTCTAGATTAAAAATATCATTTGAATTTCCCTAGTTTTTATTTTTACTATTAAAAATATGCTGAAAGTAAAAGGTAAAAATATGTCTAAAGTAACTATACTATTATTTCTTTTTGAAAAAAATATTTTTGTAATTATTGAACTAAAGATTCTAAAATTCTCAATTTTAAAATTATGTTATTTTTCATTTCTTTTGGTAACGATACATGATAATTGGGAGCGATAAATCTCATTTTATTTATTTAAAGATTATCATTTTATTATAATTTAAGTACGTATTAAAATTTATTATTTATCGGAATGCATTTTAGATCAAATTTAGAGCTTCATAATTTCTTTGTCTATTTTTTTGTTTGTAGATATTTTATTCTATTTATCCACACGTTTGAATTTTTTTTTAATACCGAAATAAAACTAAATTATATATTTTAATTGGAATTTTATAAATAATAAAAATGTTAAATGACGAAGTAAATAATATTAATAAAATAAATGATCGCATGGAAAGAAATATAAAAAGAAAAGATTTAATCATATCGGAACAGATTTATTGGTAGATATATTGATAACTTGACAATCTACATCTTGAAAATGACACCCACTTTTGGGGTCCACGTGGATCTCCTTTCATTGGGTCTTATAAAGTGGTGGGGCCCACACTCCTCATCTTTCTGATCCCGTTACTTTCTATACTAACTATACAGTTCTTTCTCTCTCCTCTAAAAAGAATTAACCCGCGTAATTATTTTTAACCTGACGGTTATTTTTTTGTTTCCTCTTGGAAACTTGCTTTTTTCAGGGAAGTTACGGTGATGGCGGCGCCCAACGGAGAGTTTGCGACTTCGATGTCGAAGGAGTCGTACCGGAGGAAGAATTCGACGACGAGAAGGCGAGAGATGAACACGATGAAGTCTTTTCCCGCGCACTGCTTGTTCTGAACCGTCGGCGATTGAGTCTCCGGTCCGTTTGACCATAGCACGTGCTTCAGCAACCTCTCACCGTCGCCGGTGAACCGATCAGGCACGAACTCGTCGGCTCTGTCGAAGATTTTCGGGTCTCTGGTTGCGAATGGTTGGAACCCACAAATCATTTCTCCTTCCTTGATCTCGAAAGCCGCGTCGTGGCTTTCGACCACTAGGTCCTTCTTCGCCCGACCGTATTGAACCGGAACCGGCGGCTCGATTCTGAACGCTTCGTGTACTACGGATTTCATCAGCGGCATCTGTTCCATGGCCCCCATCGTGATTCTCCCGCCGTTGGCTTGCACGGCGGTACGAATCTCCCTTGCTAATTGGGTGTGGAGATTCGCTCCGGCACGTCCGATCCATTTGATCATATTGGGGAAGAAAATCTTCATCCCTCCGAATGAATTGAAACACGTGGTGAAGAGCAAGTTGTGGCAAGCTTCTTCCCTCGAAATCCCCAATCTATCCGCCTCCTCAAACACCGCCTCCGACGATTGGTAAAAGAAGTCGTATAGCCGCCGGTAATCGGCTTTAATCAGCGACGGTGGAAGCCGAACCGTGCGGAGGAGGAGCTCCTCGACAACCTTAGGGAGGCCGAGTCTAAGAACAGGGCCGAGCTGGAACAGAATCCATTTCGCAATCAATTTCGGAGCGTCTCGACCCAATTTGGTATCGACAGGATTAGCGCCGAAGAGGGACCGAGCCAAGAAATTAAACGCCGCTTGTTCACCGGGAGCATTGTACTCTGCTCTGCCGACGGCAGCCAAATCCTTCTCCAGAGTCTGGAATAGCTCGGAAAAAGTAGAGTGAAATTCGGGGAGAATTTTATCACGGCGGTGCTTGAGGAGGAAGAAGATGAGCTGTTTAAGCTTCTCGTGATCGGGCTCAGATGGGTCAATATAAGAGAGAACTCTGTAGCCACCGGTGAGTTCTGTGTAAGGCATGTAAGTGCCGGTGAAGAGATCTTTCTTCTCAACTTTAGCATTGTCGAAGAGAACAGGGAAGCTCTTGCCGTCGAGTAAAACCACAACTCGAGAATCGTTGGTGATAAATGGACCCGGCGGCATATTGGTTCTGTAAACAGTGGATTCGTAGCGAAGCATCCGAGATTTGAGATACTCTTCTCTCCCCTGATTGTAGAAATAGTCTTGTCGGTCCTTCAACGCTCCGAACACCGGCGGGCCATAGTCACCTGGAATCTTCCTCAAAGGAAGCTTCGTCGGTTCCGGAGTCGGAGCAATCCGCTGCGGCAATTGAACGGAGGATGGGGGCGAGGAAGAAGAGGAGGAGGAGACCCCGTCGGCAGCGTAGATCAGGCGTCGGGAAGGAAACCCAAGGTTAGAACGAGATCTGAGAGGCTTTTTCTGCGACGGGAATCGCAAGTGGGGTTGAGGACAAGGGAGGGTTATGGATGTTACCGACATTGTCTCTCAATTTCTCGGAAACTGTTGGAGAAATGGCGCTGTGTTTTGTTTGTGAGCAATGAAGGAAAGGGGGTTTGCCTCTATTTATATGTAATTCGTCAAGAGAAGAGGTCAGCTACACATGGTGTCGTGAAATGTATGTTGAATTGAATTTTCTGTTCACACGCATTTCGTTCTTTGACTAACCCGCCAGCTCAAATTAAAAATTAAACTTAATATTTACCCACCACCACCTTCCTCATTCTAAACAAAACATACTTATGTAAGGAATGTTTCATTCCCTCTCCAATAGTGAAATCTCACACCAAATCTAATAATTAAAATTTTTAAAAAAATTCACTATTGATTCTCGTTAGGTTTTGTCCTCCAGATGGTAGAAAATGCAAAGATGGGTAATAATGAAATTACTTAGGATTCAAGGAAGGTTGTTGTTAGGTGACATAGTAGACTAAAAAACGGCAAGGACGAAATTGAGTGGCATTTTCGTGGTACAAGAATATATTCTCCTCAAAGGGTGGACTATGGACCTTTTTACCACTCTAATTAATTTTTAAGTTAAAATATGTTTTTTAAATCATAGGTTAATTCAATTTCAAACATTCCTGCTCAGTCTTCCTATAATACCTTTCTCATTCTTCCATCTTCACCATATTTTTCAATATCATTCATTTTTATTATTCCCTAAACAACAAAAATACCCCAAACAAATTAATTCCCAGTTAAATTAATTGTGTTTTTTATTTTTCTTTTAGAATCTAAATATATTACTGAATTAAGTTTATATCCAATATTTAAAAAAAAAAAAAAAGTGAATAGGAACACGACGTGGAACTAAAATTGGGCGGCAAAAAAACACGAAAAATTTAAGGGAAAAAAGGGGCAGACGTGGCAAGTTAGGCTGGTTCGTTCTGGGGGTGTATGGGTGGGACCCAGCCGTGTTTTGACCAACATTTATTTTTCATGTGTTTTAATTTATTATTAATAAACAAATCCTCCTCCAAAAATCTCTCTCTAATTCCATTCTATTCCAAATTTATTTAAGAACATTTTGTCACAATTAAATAATTTAATTTACTTATTATTTTATTTATTTCACGAGATTTAGTAAATTTTCATTTCATAAAGATTCCCCATGTAAAATTAGTGAAAAATTAACCATTGAACCAAAAAAGCCTTTAAATATAATTTGTTTTTATATATATAATATAAAAATAAAAATATGATTCATATGAAATGTAACTATTTTATTTATTTATTTATTTTTTTTTTTTTTTGAAGAATGAAGAATAAAATGAATTAAATCTAAAAGATAAAGACGAAATCAATAATTTGTTTAACAAAAAAAGGAAAAAAAAATCTAAAAACTTTGGATTTGGATCACGTGGAAGATTTTCGAAAATAGTAATATTCTTATTTAAAAAGATATATTATGTGTATGGTTGGATTCGCATATGAGATTTGTAACAGGCTGTTTATATTATTATATTATTTTGCTTAGAATATGATAATTGTAAATTAAATACTTTTAGCATGGCTAATTTAAAACTAACTATTTTCCATTTTACTAATTTTGTTTGAGTGAGTTTGTAATCAAATATTCCATACTTTGTTAATATGGTTAATTTTAAAATGAAGTGAACAAAATTAAATACTATTGTATTTTAATATTGTTAAATTCCAAAAAACTATATATTTTTTTTATTTTAAAATTTATTTGAAAAATTTAGTGATTTAAATTGTAATAAATGATTTTCCTTAAAAAGTTATATTTACAATTTATTTTTTTTGGAAAA